TATAGAGAAGGGTAGCAGGAGGGAAGGAGCAAAGGAAGCAAGAATGGAAAAAGGAAGTAAAGGAGAGAGGGAGGAAGGGAGGGAAGGAGGGGAGGGAAGAAAGGAGGGAAACAGAGAAGGGACGGAGGGTAGAGAGAGGGAGCTAAAACCGTAGGTGGTAAGAGGCAGGAGGCTGGTGTGACCTGGGCCTCCATTTTCTCAGAGCAGCAGGGCTGATCTCCATCCAATCCCAGAGGTTGAGTTTCAGAAGGAAAAGCAATAATAGACGTGGAATTTGAAGTGTAGTTTTGTAAAACAAACAAGAAGACAAAGCACACTGAGACACAAAAAGAGTCTCCCATTTTGGGGGTTTTAGATCATGACACAAATATCACTGAAGTGGACCATCTATATAGAAAAAAATAAAAAGAAACTTCTTTGTGAAAAAAAAATTTTTGGTTTCTAAAGCAACCTATTTCTTAACAGAACAGTAGAATCTCTATGTTTTGGGCCATGTTCTTTCTTGGAGGACCAATGAAAGAAACTAAAAATATAATTGAAATTCCAAGTAGGCTTTAGAAAAGAAAAGAAAAGGAAAAACAAAAAGCCACAGAACAACACTAAAGGCAGGCCTGAGTGAAGTGTCAGCAGACAGTAAACAGAGATCTCGATGGAATAGCCTAGAAAGATGGAGGTTCCTTCTGGGCCAACCCAGAAAATACCAAAAAGCTGAGTGTCCTCCTGTACTTTCTGCCGGAACTTTCAGGTTTCTGTGGTATTTTATATCCACATAGCAGAATGGGGACTAGTCCCCGGGGGTCCTTCTCCCCACTGTGCCATACTGGCTGGAGTCTTAAAAAGGCACACCTGTGAACTGCCACCTCCACTTGGGATCTCTTCAGGGCAGCCCATTCTCCCCAGGTCTCCATTTCTTCAACTTCCCTGAAAACAAGTAGTTTGGGGCCCCCTGCTCCTGCCTCCCTTTGTCAAGTCATCCCTAGAAGTTTGTCCTCAGCATGGCCATTCCACTTATGGACCATGGGACACCCAGTGGGCAATAGAGCTCCTAGCTCTCCTGTGATTTTCAGGCCAGTGAGCACCTCCTTCCTAGTATCTCCAGATCAAGGCCCAACCACTACCCCAACTCACCCAGGATGTCCTGCTAAACAAATAAGGCAATTTCTAGCTGGCCCTAAAGTTTCATTTTTTTTTTTTTTTTTTTTTATTATTCTCTGAAGTCCTCAAAATGGGAAGTTTTGCATTCCAGGGTTTTTGATTCCAGGCTCTAGAAATTTCCCCCTCATCCCTGGCCACATTCTCTCTGTCCTTTTGGGTTCTCTGCAGCATGGTTGATAGTGATGAAAGTTGGTTTTTACTTAAATGACACCTTTATTTCTTCCTTCTGTTCCTTCCTCACTACTGGTTTGTAAGTAGGACAGAGTCAACCAGGATCTCTCTCCCCCACATCTTTGAAATCAACTGAGAAGGTGAATGTACAAATGGACAATAGACAGACCGTATATTGAAGTAAAACCCTGACCAACAACCTGTAGCAACCAGTCCTGGAAACCAAATCATAATCTTTCTAGCAATTGGTCCCTAAAGGTCAGGATTTGATCAATAATTGACAACTTCACTAAGTTTTCCCTTACTTCTAACTTAGGGCCAACTGGATAAAGCAGGGTATTGTCCCCCTAACCCATCTCCCACTTTCCTCTGCTAGAAACATGACTATAGTAGACCCTCTCTCTTTCCACTCTAAAACTTTCCCACTATTCTGCTTATTTTTGAGTTTTTATCAAAGTCAATTGATGGTGGCTGACACCCTTGGTGTAGCAAGTTGTGAATAAATACCCTTTGCTTGTTCTCATTTGGGTGCTTTTCATTTATTTCAAAAAAGCCAATTCCAGTGGAAAGAACAAGAATTAAAAATCAACCTGAAGGATTCCATTGATAGAAGTCCACAAAGAGGCAAAAATAATCTATGGTGGTAGAAATAAGAAAGTGGCTTGCCGTGGGGAGGGCTGAGGAGAGAGGGGGCAGTGAGGTTGAAAGTGGAATTAATTAACTGGAAAGTTCATCAGGAAACTTTTTAGAGAAATGGAACTGATCTAAATTTTATTGTGAGTGATGATTACATGGTATACGGTTGTCAAAATTCATCGACCTAAATACCTTAGATGTGTGCATTTCATGATTTGTGAATTATACCTTATGATAGGCAGCTTCTAAGATGATCCTGAATTCCTGGGGCTACCATGTTTGCATAATGTCATGCCCTAGAGTGTGGGCTAGACCTGGTGATTTAACTCTAACAGTTAAATACAGAAAAAGTGGTGAACTGTCACTTCTGAGAAGAGATTACACAGACTGTGAATTTCAGGCCACGCTCCTGCTCTCCTGGTGTTTTACTAGCTCATTCCGGGAGGTCAGCTGATGTATTATGAACTTCCTATGGAGAGGCCCTCATGGCAAAGAACTAATGCCTCTGGACAACTTCCAGCAAGAACCTGAGACCTGTCAACAGCCACTCACACGAGCTTAAAAGCAGATCTTCCCCCACTTGAGCCTTGAGATGAGACCACAGTATCTTCTGGTGTCTTGATTGCAGCCTTGTGAGAAACCCTGAGCCAAAAAAAAAAAAAAAAACCCAGTTGGGCTGTGTCTAGATTCCCAACCCACAGAAACTGTGACAGAATAAATATTTGCAAGTTTCAGTCACTAAATTGTAGAATAATTTGTTCTATGGCAATGATAACAAATGCACAGATGGAATCTTATCTATACTAAAATTTCTAAGATGCTCATTAAAAAGAAAGTAAAGTGCATTACTTAGTAGCATATGCTTCTGTATTTTTGCTAGCTCAGAGGATCTGCTATGACCACTGTGATTCACTCAGTTGACCACCACAACTCTTTCTCTGGAAGCCCCTCTTCCAGAATAGCAGTTTTACCATTAAAAATAACTAGGACAGAGGCTGGCGCTGGGGCTTAGTGGTAGAGGGCTTGCCTCACACAGATGAGGCACTAGGTTCGCTCCTCGGCACCACATAAAAATAGATAAATAAATAAAAATATTGTGTCCATCTACAACTAAAAAAGAAAAAACTATTTTAAAAAATCTAGGATATATTTATAGAAGTCTTTCTCCACTCACAGGGAGAGAGATTCTCCACATTCTGTTATGGGAGCACTCCTAGCTCTGAGGATTCCTAGCATATGGAATTCCAATATCCTGACATCTGGCAAGGCTTGCAGAGGGACAGGCACCTATCACTTCACTCAGATGAATGGTCTTTGCCCTGAAGTCCTCCCTTATGTCCTTATCTCCCTTAGCTGGTGAACACAGAGAGGAATGCAGCCTCCTTGGTCAGCAGTGCTTTCCTTGAAGGGATAGTGCAAAGTGTGGGCTAAGAACTACCACAGACCTGGGTTCAAATCCCAGGTTCACTTCCACGTACCAAGTGAGCTTTAGTGTATCATAGATTCTCTCTAAGATCCTTGGGAACCTCCCTTATTAAGATAACTCCTGCCTTGAGGAACATTATGAGAATTAAAGACACACATCAACGTGGATGAGTCTCTGCTATGGTTTGTATAAATGTCCCCCAAAAACCCCTGTGTTAAAGGCTTGGCCTCCAGTTTATGACACTATTGGGAGACTGTGGAACCTTTAAGAGGTGGGACCTAATTGGAAGTCACTTGGGGGTGGGCCTTTAAAGAGATATCAGAACCCTGATACCTCTTCTCTTTATTTTCTTCTTGGCTGCCATGAGGCTGCCATGAGGTGACCACCACATGCTCCTGCCATGATTTGCTGCTTTCTCACAGGACCAAAAGCAATGAGTTCAACCAACAATTGAATGAAACCTCCAGAGATGTGAGCCAAAAAAAAAAAAAAAAAAACCCTGTCCTTTTTAAGCTAGTTATCTCAGATGTTTAATTATAGTAACAGAAAGATAACAGGATCTCAAGTGCATTAAGGGGAAAAAGACAGTTTCAAAAGTCTACAGTTATATGACATTCTCGAAAAGAAAAAACCCGTAGGCATGAAAACAGAACAATGAATGGCAGAGATGGGAAAGAGAAGGGTGGATCACAAAAGGTCCTGAGAGAATTTGGAGGAAGAGTGGTAATGGAACTGTTCTGTATCTTAATTATGGTGGTGAATACCTGAGTGTATGTGTGTCAAAATTCATAGACCTAAACACTAAAAAGGATGAATTTTACTGTATGTAAATTATATCCTGATAAAAGTGCTTTTGGATATAATGGAAGGAAGTCAAAAGTGCAGACATAATGGCTTTCTCAGTCTAGCCCACCAAAACAGTCATACAGGTTATGTCACAGCTCCAAGCTTGCTGAGGTTAGTCCAGGTGCCATATAAGCCAACTTCATCTTTCCAAAACCCTCCCTTCCCAGCCTCTAAGGCTGCCTGCCAACTCATCTCTGCCTGGAGGGAACTGCAGCTTTGGGGTATACAGATTCAGTTTTGGGAAGTCTAAGTGTGAGAACCAGGGCCCTGCAGAGCCAGCATGACTGTCCACACCTGTTAAAACAAAGGTAAAGTCTTCCCCTGCTTCAGGATCCCAACAACTAGCAAGGGAGCCTCTGGGCTCATCAATTACCAGCATCTATGCAGGTATTTATGTCTTTTTTGCTACATGCCAGTAAGTATGATATCAATATGATTGCAGAGAAGTGGCCCACAAACCAAACATGCGTGTTATGTGTAACCTACTAACAGAGTGATAAATGTCTCCTCCCTTGCACTGGGGATATAAGAAGCTAGCATTGTGAGTTTTCATCAAACCAAAAATGTGAGAAATCAACAGGGAATGGGAAGGCGGCTATTAATCTCCTTAAAATTGCCACAGGGATGGGCCCAGCCAGCAGCCTTCATTTCTATGGAAACCACAAAAGACAGTTTGGACAAAAGGAAATGAAACCCGAGGGGAGGGGAGGTCGTGGCCCAGCAGGGAAGGTCCCCCTCCACGTTGTCTCGTGTGGGGCCTGGGCGCTCACTTGCAGCCCTTGGGCACCTTGGGGACACTGGGCTTGTCTGCCTTCTTCAACTTCTTGCTCCCAGCCGCTGCCTTCTTGGCCTTGCTGCTGCTGCTGCTGCTGCTGCCCTTGTCCTCTGTGGCAGCAGCCTTCCGGGGTGCGTGCTTGTTGGCTGTGGCACCCTTGGTGGGTCAGGGGTGCTGCCTGCTTCTTGGGTTTGTGCACTGTTAGCTGGCTGTCAGCTTTTGGCAATTGAGCTTGAAGGAGCCGGTGGCGCCTGTGCCCTTGACCTGCAGTAGCAAGTCATTCTGCACCAGCGTGCACCAAGTACTTGAGGTAGGTGCAGCTGTTCTGCTGGTTGAACCCCTCCACCTTCCTGGCCTCTGCATAGATGCCCACCAGCGACAAGCTTCTGCTTGCTAAGCCTGCGGACGTCTCCACCTGGCTGACCGGCTGGTTCTTCTTGCAGCTGCTTTTATGCTTGGGGCCACCACGGCCCTTGTCGCTGCCCCCCCACACACACCTCGCAGCCCTCCCCATGGCCCCCTTGGCGCCCAGGAGCTGCAGGGCCTTCTCCAGCTCCACCAACATGGTGGCCAGCGGGTTGGTGGCAGGCAGTGCCAGGAAGAGGAAAGTGGGGGGGGGGGGCGCTCAAGGCGCGGGTCCTGGGGCTGGGCGGCAGGGCTGGGGACAGATGGATGAGCCCCATCGGGGAGCCAGGGTGGTTGTCTGGGGCAGCTCTGGGGCTCAGGGAGGGCTCAAGCTCGGGCCGAATCTCGCGGCTGCTGTGGCGCCGCTGCTCCAAAGCTGCCCGCCTTCTGGATGTGTGTGATGCGCTCTGCTAAGCTACAATGTTTTATTCAGAAGATTCCTGTACAGATCTTTCTCCTTGTGTAAAACAAATGGAAGACCAGTGTTCATCAACATGAGGACAATTTTTTGAAAAGGGTTTGAGGGAAACAAACTTCTTGGTGCTTTTCCATGAAAGCACATGGTGGGCAGTTAATGCATTTGAGGTTAAGTTGTTCACACAACACAGGCAGAATTTATGGAATATTGGATTATTTTTGTTTCTTAGCCCAATTTCTGAAAGTTTGTAGGTCCACTTATAATTTTTTTCAAGTGAGACATCCTTAAGTTGAATTTCAATGATTCATAGTTGTTATTGTTTTTATAAGAATGTATTTGAAAACATTTATTCTCTGTGTACACAGTTTATGTAGGAAACTAGCTCCATGATTTCTCTTGGCTAGGAAGCCTGTATAAGGACTTTTTCCATCTGATACTGAGGACAGGTTTCATGGGAAACTCAACTATATGAAGGTTACATACCTTTTTCCCCCAGGAGGACTTCAGCTTTGCTTATCCAAGTATGGTCCTATGTCCTGGAGCTTGTTTGAAATGTAGACTGGTGGTGTACCTGAACCTGTGGGAAGAACCAGACAAGATATGTGACTCTCAGACTTGAGGGTATTACCAGGATTGCTGGACTAGTATAAAGTTTCTGATTCAGTAGTCTGGGTGGGAGCCTGAGAATTTTAATTTTAACAAGTTATCACATGCTGCTGATGCTGCCGGTACAGGGACCATACTTGGAGAACCATTATACTAGAGTGTCCTCATTGTACATTTTTCTCCCCTTTCCAAATTTCTTACTCATTCAAATAGCTTTTTAAAAACAGATTTTCATATTCTTTAACTTGATTGAAGGGGGAAAAAGCATTTTTTTTTTTTGTAATGACCACACCAAGATTGCTTTTCAGCATCTAATTTCAGAGCAAAAAATCTCTTTAAACCTTAGTTTTAAATCTTATCTATGGGTGTCTGTTTCTCTTCTTTCTGTAAGTATTCTTTTTAATGTTTAAAAATTCTTTTAATGTAGATAACATGTTCTTATGGTTCAAAAGTTAAAATGACACAGGCATGCTTCGGAAAATGTGATTTCCAACTGCTTTGCCCCCCCCCTTCACCCCTCTTTTTTAGATAACTACCTTTAATTTATTTCCCATAGATGTCAATTGTTTCCTTTTATAGTAGAAGAAATGCCAGTGTACTATATTCTTTTTATATAAAATGTGGTATACTAAAAAAAAAAAAGGAAATGAAACCAGGGAAAGGAAAGGATTGGCTGTATTCTGAAGAAGACTAAATTCCAAGGTTGTTCAGCTGAAAGGCCAGGAGTTTTCAAAGTGCCCGAGGAAAAGCCCTATGGTACCTAGCTAGCACTGGCACAGAACATCTCTTAGCCTGGGGGGGGGGTGGGGTGGGGGCGTGGGTTCACAGAGATGGCCCTATTTCTTTAGTTCTGATGACTGCTAAGGAAATCCAATGAGGCCAGGGGGAGGTGGGTGGATAGGGTTGCAGGCAGGGCAAGAGCCTAGCAGGAGAAAAGAAAAGATATAGGGGAACAATATGCTAACCCAGGAGGTAGTTTGGGACACCATATTTGGGATGGCACCCTTCCTCTGCAATCCCAAGGACACCCTGTGTTTGTTTCTACCATCACAATACCCTGCTTACATGCCATCCCAACACTAGATTCTGCATTGCTTTATTAAGAATAAGAGGATATAAGCCAGTGGCACACACTTGTAATCCCAGTGGCTCAGGAGGCTGAGGCAGAAGGATTGCAAGTTCAAAGCCAGCCTCAGCAAAAGTGAGGTACTAAACTCAGTGAGACCCTGTCTTTAAATAAAATACAAAATAGGGCTAGGGATGTGGCTCAGTGGTTAAGTGCCCCTGAGTTCAATACTTGGTACCACCCCCACCCCCCAAAAAAAGAAATAAGAGGATATAAAATTCATTATTGTATTAGCATAATCTACCTCAGGGTTGAGACATCACCACCATCATAGAATATCTTACTCTTTCCCAATACCAACAACCAATACACATGCACCTAGAGCATGGAGGGCATGTGCTCCATTCTTTATGTTTATAACCTGTCTAAAAACTCATTGTTAATAGCATTAGCATAGCCATTTTATAGATTGAGGCACAGGGAGTTCAAGATGTTTTCTCAAGGCCAGACTGCTAGTAAGTGGCAGAGCTGGGATGCAAACCAGGATGTTTAATCCAGACTGTGTTCCTGAGCCTATATAATGTTTTCAGTAAAGGTCTATTGAATAAACAACTTGCCAACATTCTGTCCTTTTTCTCTCTGACACTTTTTTTTTTTTTTTTGCTACAGTCCCATTTATTTCCTCAGCTTTAGCTATTACATATCTGCAGGTGGATCCTATATCCTTCTATAGCCCTGATCTCTCTAATTGGTTGTGCTGATTTCCAATTGATGGAAAGTTATCCCTGCCTTCCATATAGTTTAGTAAGGAGAAAGATAATAATTAGGTGACAGTAAATCACTCACCCTGCCACTACCTATTACCCCACCGTCTTCCCCTTTCCACATGCCCTCTAACAAACACACATGCATGTACATGCATACAAATCCCAGAAGTCCATGCTCAGATGCCTCTTCCCTTGCAGGATATAATTGAATAGGAACAATGTCCTCTCCCCTTGTCGCTCCATGTCCCCAAAGGCTCCATAGTATTCCTGCATTGAAAATGAAATCAGATTTGCAGAACAATTTCATATGGGAGACAAATTAGCAAAAGCATAGTTTTAATTTCCTCTGTCACATAAGACCATGTCTTAATTAATTCAAAACAACCCCAATCCTGATCAGTATCTTATATTTTTAAAAAATTTGATGTCAGTTCTGCCTCTGGACCCACAAGCTAAAGTGGTAAGCATTTCCAAATAAGATTCAAATTATTAATGCCTGATGGAAATGTTCCTGACGCCTGAGCAGCCTCATATCATTTTTCTCCTTAGTCTCTCCCGCCAGGAGAAAATACTCTTTGGAATAAGCACAGGGTGTTAAAGAATGCAGACAATCAATAGCAATATCCTGTGCATTCCTTCCTAACAATCAGCTTCTTCCCTGCCTCTCCTTGACATGGAGATTCCTAAATTAGGCTCATGCATAATTCATAAAGCATAAGCCCAAACTACACAAACTCAGATTCATGTGTTAGAGACCAGCCTCTGTGCCTTTCTGGATGAAGAAAGAAGGCTTGCATTCAATGTGGCAAATGTCCACTGTGAGCCCACGACAAGCCATGAATGGGGCAAGGAATGTGGGCAAAAAGACGTGGCCCTGGATGCTCCCTGTGTATGTATGGTTTAGTCAAGGAGCTACATAAACAAATCAGAGGGGAATGCAATGTATGTTTAACAGTAAGGAAATAATTCTGCTCTGGGAAGTACATGGAAGCAGGGGAAAGATTGGCAAATCTTTGTAGGGTTGAAGTCCCCTGAACTGGGATCTCTAAGTACAATGTCCAGAGATCATGATTGAAATTTTTGCCAGTAGGAGGGGTGGAAATACCACATGACTATTTTAATTTTTACTTTCTGATGATTTACTAGTCAATGTCAACATCTTTTCATTTATTTATATGACCATGTGGGTTTCCTCTGTGAATTGCCCAATATTTTATTTTATTGAACTTTTAGAAATTTTTTATTTGAGTTTGTGAGTAAATGTGTTTAAAAAATTTTCTAAGTCAGGGCTGGGGCTGTAGCTCAGTGGCAGAGTGCTTGCCTTGCATGTGTGAGGCACTGGGTTTGATCTGCAGCACCACATAAAAAAATAAACAAATAAAGGCATGGTGTCCATTTATAATTATAAAAAGAAATTTAGAAATTTTTTTTCTAAGTCAGTCTTTGAATTCTCTTTTCTTTAGAGTACTGTTTGCTATAGAGACATTTCAACTTCAGTGTAGTAAGGTTTAGCAGTCCTTTCTTCTCTGGCAGTATCTTCTGTGTCTTATCAAAATTCCATTTATACTCTGATATGATAAAGATTTTCTCTTATATGTTCTTTTTTATTGTTTCTGAAATTCTACTTTATTAAATTTATTAGCAATGTTATTTGCACAGATATAAGATGAAGCATGATATTGATTCTACTGCTACTCACTGTCCCTTGGACATACCTTCAAACCCTTTTTATTTTTAATATTGTTTTAGTTGTCAATAGACCTTTATTTTATTTATTTATTTTTTATGTGGTGCTGAGAATTGAACCCAGTGCCTCAGACATGCTAGGCAAGCACCCTTCCACTAAGCTACAACCCCAGTCCACGCTCAAACTTCTTGTTTGCTATCTCCCACTCCCTTAGCTAAATTAAAATCTGGTTCAATCGAAATTTTTGCTTCCGCTGTTTTTCCACCTGATGGGTTGACCAATGCTGAAGAAGAATTAATCATGATAACTGGAGGTAATGGTTAATCTCAATTGTCAACTTGACTGGATTGAGAGATGCCTCTAAAAATAGTAAAACACTGTTCTGGGTGTGTCTGTGACAATGTTTCCAAAGACTGTTGGCATATGGGACAGTAGACTAAGGGGGAAGACCCACCTTCACGTGGGTGGCGCTGTCCAATAGGCCAGGAGCCACAAAAGTGGAAGTGGAAAGAAGGAGAAAGCCCACCAGCAGGTGCAAAATGAAATCTTCTTGAACAGGTGTACCCTTGCAGCTGTCATCACTGGAGGACATCAGACCCCAGCTTCTTCTGCTCTT